CAGCTTCCCTGGTCAACCTGGCCCAGGCTCTCCCCACCCTCACACTCCACAATTCCCTACTCAGCTCCAACCTCAATCTCCTTCTAGTCCCAGGTGGGCCCAAGGTCCCACCAAGTGCTCCTAGGTCCATGAGCAGCAGAGCAGCCTCTCACAAGAGCCAACCCCACCCCGAGCTCCCGCAGGCGGCGCCCAAGTCGCTTCCTTCAATCCACTTCACACCATTCCTGGAGGTTTTGCTGCTCTTCTCCAGCAGCTGGAAGGGGGTGATTGATCCACCCCTTGGTTGTGCAACCTCTGCTGGAGCCAAGTCAGGTCCAGGACACACCTCGGGGAGGTATTTCTTACTCTTTGTGGCCACAGCCCCAGCTGGGCGGGCAGAGTCACCACTGCCGAGTTCCCCGTTTTGCAAGAGGAGCCACTTCGAAAGAGTCCACGTTCCTCAACCCCTTCTCCAAATGTTCTGCTGGGATCCAGGGGCTGGAAAGGCCAAGAGGCCTCCTAGAAGTATTGGAAGCAACATATTTCTCTGCAGGAGGTGATTAGGGAGCCAAGGCCTGGAAGCTCCACGAGAAAGAAAACCAGAGACAAGGGCACGAGGGATCTTCTCAACCAGCAGCGCGGGTGGTGGCAGCTCTGAAGGCCACCAGCATCAAGAGGCTTCCTGGTTGTCCATCCCCACAACTCCTCCTGGGTCCAGTTTTCCTGCAGAATGTCTGTCTGTCCCAGCAGAGATCAGGTTTGGTGAAACACCCTCGTTTCAAAGAGCAGGAACCATCTAAACAGGTTGTGGCAGGAGGGACGGGACGGTTCTCCTCCCAGCCTGGAGACAAGGACTGACTCACAGGAGGAGCCAAATGGTTCCCCTGAGGCCACCAGGGAACCCAGCACCACGATGACAAGGCCACCTTCACTGTGTGACACAAGGAGCATTCCCAGGGTCACCTGGGCTCCTGCTCCTCACCTTGACATGATGGATCCAACACCCACCACAACCTCAGTGTCTCCTGCTCCTCACCTTGACATGATGGATCCAACACCCACCACAACCTCAGTGTCTCCTGCTCCTCACCGTGACATGATGGATCCAACACCCACCATAACCTCAGGGTCTCCTGCTCCTCAGCCTGACATGATGGATCCAACACCCATCATGACCTCAGGGTCTCCTGCTCCTCAGCCTGACATGATGGATCCAACACCCACCATGACCTCACGGTCTCCTGCTCCTCAGGACAACATGATGGACCCAACACCAACACCCACCATGACCTGTCTTCACAGGAGAGCTGCTCCAGCCCTCTGATCATCCTCATGGCCCTCATGTTGGCTGAGGACACCAGGGCAGGTCCCCAGCACCAGGATGGACAAGCAGAGCCACCCCCTGGTCCCTCCCTCCAGAGCCCAACACCAGGATTGCTCTGGTTGATCCGTGTTGTCGTCGCTGTAACGGGATCACCTGGATCAGGTGCTCATTCCCAAACATGAGGATGTTCCTTATGGGGACACTCAAGTAGGTGGGGCCCAAATCTGCCAATAAGAGCAGAAGTTCTCCCTGAAGGATGAGATTGCTGGGTACGTGCAGCAGGGGCAGGACCCAAGGAGGTGTGAAGGCTCCTGAGGTCTTGCCCAGTGTCCTCCTGGTGTTGGGCTTTCGCTGCCCAGCACGGTGCTCCCAGTTGGGTAA